TTGGCATTTGGGTGTTGAATAAAGAGGGAGCCATATGGCTAATAGATTTACAGAAAGCACATTGTTTCTTTCCTGAGTGAGGGAGGCTTTTTAGAAATTTGTTCCAAGTCACAATATATATTTATCTAAAAATGTCTAATCTAAGAGACATACTATTACTAAAACTAGCACCTATTTTGCCAGTTTGATTTTGTGAATGAAGTGTTTCACATGGGATAAAGGAACAGAAGGGAAAAATCCCAAATCTTTGTTAATTAATCTCACTTAAAAATACCTTCTTCATCTTTCCTTCTCTGAAATGCTCTGTTGTCATTTCCTGTGTCAAATGTCAAAAACCAAACTAATTCTATATTACTCACCTTCCGTAGCACTCTTTTTTCTCTATACCCTGAACAGAATACCTTCTTTAGTTTTTTCCTTTTCCTTAATAATATTAATGATATTACCATTGTCCAGTCATTCACATTAGAAACTTTAAAATACTTCTGTTTTTTCCTCATCCTTTAGTTCAAGTTGATTCTGTTATTAACAGTTTTCATTAAGACTAACATTCACTCCTCTGCCACCAGTAGTGCATCATATTTTGTTGTTATAGCCAAATTTTCTAATTGCTCTTTAAAAATATTTTTTCTTTTATATGAAAGCAGATTGAGAGAGAAGGCAAGAGAGACAGAGATGTCTACACCTACTGGTTCACTTCCCAAATGGCCAGCAACAGCCAGGGAGGACTAGAATGAAGTCAGGAAGCAGGTGGTTCGTCAGGGTCTCCCATGTAGGTACAGGGGCTTCAAAACTTGGCACATTCTCTTGTGTTTATTGAAGCCATTAATAGGGATCTGGTTTGAAAGTGGAGCAGCCAGGGCGTAAACTGGTGTCCATAGGAGATGCTTGCATCTCACCCTCTATGCTACAATGGGGCCCCTCTATTTTTAACCAGTATAGTTCTACAAAGTAACCTTACAGTCACATTACTGCCCAACAAACAAAACCCTCAGGATGATACTCAAGGTTTATTGGTGGTTTGGAACTTGCTTTGATCTCTACTTATACTTCTTATATATACTTGATTTTTCCTATTGATTCCTTTATTCATGAATGTTCATATGGGGTCTTCAGAAAGTCAGTGGAAAAGATGTATAATGAAAATACTCTGCATGGTTTTTAGATTTTTTTTCCCAAAGCAAATGTTTTAAATTCCATTTTCCACTAGCTTGCTGACATGCCCTCTTACATGCAGATCATGGTTCCGTGCTCGGCACTTTGAGGACGGGGACTCAATGCGAAGGCTATGGCTGGTGCCACACTGCTTCTTCTGTGGCCAGGCTGTGTCACCTGTCCTCTAAATGTAATAAAGTTTTTCTTAATCTTTCATATACTACTTACATATCATCTTCTTAAAGCATTTAAGGTAGTATTTCTTGCTCAGGTAGTATTTCCTTTTTGTGTTTCTTATAACTCACATTTATATTAACATCATAAGTACTATATTACATTTATAATTACTTATTTGTAGTTGACCCTTTCCACTAGCTCTATTAAGATGGGAAGTAGGAAGCCAAAAGAGAAACACAGATGAGGATTGAGACAGCAGATTAGAAGAGGTAAGGGGAGGAGTGAGTAAGCCTAGGACTCCGTCTTGCTTAGGGACAGACAGGGACCAGGTGGGTGTGAACCCTGACTCATCCACTTAGAAAAGGATCATGTGCAGGAGACCAGCTCCAGCTGACTTCGGAACTCACGGAAGATGTGTGGAGTAGGCTTTTTTTTTCTTAAGAGATAAAGAGAAAAGATGGATCACTATAATTTCATGATCATAATGGACAATGCAAGAAAGCTGTCCTCTTTATTTGTACAGAAAAACTCACAAGCTTTTGCACAGACTTTTTACATCATGGTCAAGTGGGTGTTTCCAAAGATAATTCTACATCTGTGTCAAAGAAGGCCATTAGCCATTCTGACCTTGCAGCCAGTAATGCCTCAGCTGGCAGCACATTAGTAATACGCTCCTACTACATTTCTCCTTCTGCAACTTAGCATTAAGGGAAAAATATATATCGCAAAGGGAAAAACATAAAGATCAGAAACAAAAAGCTTTAAACATAAATTACCGCTACAACTACAGGCTTGGCAACTCTTTAATTAGTTTGAAAGCATGTTTTATAATGTTAGTACAAACATCCTTGAGCTCCTCCAGCCAAAGGGTCATAGGAATGACCAAGGCAGCATAACTTGTTAAAGGTCTGCTTACCAAGACATTGTTAATGACATTAGTTCCTAAGCTCACATCTGTTACAGAGACCATCTAACAAGGGCAAACAGCAATGCATCAACAGATTTCAGTGGTAGTTGAGTGAAATTGCATTGAAGTAGCTGGAGGGACGGGCATCTATCAGGTTTTGCTGTATAGCTGGAAGCTGCTTGTGGGCTTGCCAGCGGGGAGCCCTTCTCTTCACATCTTTGTCTGTCCCAATGGCACAAAACCTGGGAGGATTTGGCTTCCAGTAATCATGTGGTTTCATACTTCTATATCTCAGTTTATAATGGCGATAACAGTAGTATAGTTGTGAAGGTTAAATGAGTTAATAGTTGTAAAATGCTTAAAACAGTAAGTAGCACATTTGTGTGTTAAATTTTTTTTTCTTTTTAAACTTTTTTTTTCTTTTTTTTTAGCAGTGGCTAGTTTCTTAAAGTAATATGAGCTAGTTTGTCCTCATTTAGTTTCTCAAGGAATGGGAGATTTGCTGGTTGCATAACACACAATCCTTTAGGCATTAGCTTTCTCTGTGTGTTTGGGGCATAAACTCAGGAACCCCTGCATACATTTGCCATAATGCAGTGTAATATTGAAATACTGCCTTCTTTGGCCTCTTCATACTAGATTCATCCTGATTCTGGCCTTACTGCCTGTTCGAAATGCTCCTGATAAACCTGCAGTTTTCATTTTTTACCCCAACTTCTCGCTTGGTGCACACCACTATTTGTACATCAGAAAACATAGCTTCTTTGTTAGCAGTTTTGTTTTCTCTCCTGGCTGCCTATGCTCCACTTTGATGGCAGAAGAGTCCAGGCTGGTGTCTGGGACTAACCTCTGGTGCTAACAGTGAGGCTCATTTCTCAGCACTAGCCTGGTATCCAGGCGATGCCTCTGCCATTCTCTCCTGTCTTTCTCTCTCTACTCAGGGTTCCTCCTTTAAATATGATGCTCTGCTCCCTCTTCTGCAACAGCACAGTTGGCCCAGCTTTTGAGTAGTCTGTAATGTCATAATTCGGTTTCCCATCTACACACAAGGTATGCCTAGGTTTCACAAATAATGACAAGCCGTGACATTTAAAGCACTGTTCCTTAACCAGTTGGACATTTTTCTTTCTCAACAGACCTTTCTTATAGTTGTGGAAGCTGGGAGTCTGAGACCAGGGTGCTGGTCAGCAAGGTCTTGGAAGAGCTCTCCTGGGGCTGGCAGAGTTATCTTTCCAGCAGAGAGGGGAAGGCATGAACTCCCTCATGCTTTACATGTTTTTTTTTTTCCTAAAATGTATTTATTTGAAAGACAGAATGGACGATAAAAATGGGGAAACAGAGTTGGCCCATCCACTAGGTTCATTCCTTAAATGGCCATAACAAGCAGGGCTGGACAGGTGAAAGGAGCCAAGAACTCCATCCTGGTCTCTTGCATGTGTGGCAGGGACTCAACACTCAAGGCAAATTCTACTGCTTCACAAACAGTATCTTAATCCACTGTTAGGCAACACAACAAGTGACCTTACTATTGACAAATGAGTTGGATGCTAAATTGCTCTGGCTCTTCTGATTGAAGAACCTTGGAGGGGATAATTGTAGGTTACTGCTTGAGCTATGGAGAAAGAGCAGGTGATGTTTTGAGGCATGGGATTCATTTTCAATTTGTGCTGAATAGTATGTGCAAGATGCTGGAGATACAAAACTTCATTCTTATTTGGTCTCAAACAATGGTAATGACAAATAAGGAACAAGATTTAAGGACAGAAATGGCTTATTCTTATCTACAGTGTCTCTTTGGATGATTTCATGTATTCTCTTGAAACCAAATTCTCTTAAGAATCCAGCAGTTTATCAGAGTGAAGTCTCATTCAGTTTCTATAGTGAACAATGATCTCCCAATTCTGGGACTTCATACATGTTATTCTTTGTGGAAGAGAGTTAAATTGGATGAGAACTGGTTGTTCAAATGCAGTCCAAACGCCCCTACTGAACTTTCAGAAAGCAGTGGGCTTTTCACACTGAGGAAGTGTTCTGTGGTTCTCATGGTCCCTTTTCTCCAGTTGTTGCCTTCGTTGCACTTTATTTTAATGGCTTTCCACAGATTGCTCAAGGAAAACAGGAACTGTAAATATAACAATATCTGTTGTATGGCTGGGTGCTTTAAAATATTTGTTGATTGAGTACGTGAGTGGGGTTTAATACAGAAGGGTTCATTATTCCAAGCCAGGGGAGGAGGATAATTCCAAACTAGGAGTGCGGTGTTGAATATTCCTGCTGTAGAGGCCGTGAGTAATGCCATTTGACCAGACTATAATATTGAATAAAGAGAGACTGAAGCTTTAAATGCCAAGTTGAGGAGTCCTATGTTTTTAAACAAAGGCTGTTGATGTTTAAGGACAGAATTCAATACATGTCATGAAGTTAAGTAGTGTGCATGAGAGATAGTTTTTTTCCTCCTAATTCTTGTGTTAAATGTTTATAGCATTCTCAATGGATTAAACATGATAAATGCCTGATTTGCAGACTATGGTTTTCTCTTTTAGGCCGTTTCTGTATAATTTATAGGAAAGCTTTTAGAAATTAAATGTGAACGAATATCACTGAATGAACTGAACAAATAGCATTAAACTTTACAGTTTATTTTTTGTAAACTATGAAAATTAAATCTAAATAGAGAAGTAATCTAACTTATGGGGGTTTCCTTCTTATTTGTAGCTTAAAGAAAAATAAATGCTTACAGCTGTAACTTTTTTTTCTCTAGTATCTCCAGAGGCAGTTGGATTTTTGTCAGCTGTTGGGGTGTTTATTATCTTGATGCTGCTCCTTTTTCTGTATATTAATAAGAAGTTCTGTTTTGAAAATGTTGGCGGGTTTCCAGATCTTGGTTCAGAATACAGTACAAAGAGGAACTCACAAGATAAAATTTGTAAGTATCATGTTGCTGCTTCCCTTGTTTGTTCCTTTAATCTGTACTCTTATTTATTTTAATAGTAGAATGAAAAGGTTGGTTTTGACATATAACAAACAAATATTTGAGCCTTCACTGTGAATAAAAGATCTATTAAGTAAATCATATATAGTTATCCTCCTACTGCTTACAAGTTGTTACTATATCTTATAAAGATGAATTGTCTGATATCACAAAATGTTATTTTTGTTTTTTGTATATAACATGCACTTTTGAGAATACAAGATGAGCAGATATGCATTAGTAAGAAGAAAACAATTTAATACCTTGGATAGCATTTTAAAATCCATCGTCCAGCCAACTCTGAAGAGCTCTTTCCTGTGTCCCTACAAAGCTTTAGAAATTATTGTCCCTTTTTGTTTTCCTGCTCCTTAAAGTCTCAACTGAAGGATAATTTTATTGCTTGGAAGAGATGGTTTTCCCCAGGAATTTAGTGTGTAAGCAAATTCAGATTCTGAAAAGCAGTGTTCCATTCTGTCCCAGGACACTAAGCTTCATGATATTTCATGTTACTAGACCTAGTATAGCTGGTTGTGATAGGTTTCTTTTTCTTGTGGAAGTGTTTCCTTGAAAGAAAATTTTAAAAGTTCATTACAGAGGGTTTTTATTTGCTATTTACCAGATTTGATTTATGTAAATAATTGTAAGAGTAAGTTGAGACTTATAAAAGCAAAGTGAATATAGAAGCATTTTTGAGGACCTATTACAGAGAAATAATTCCTTTTCTTGTGTATGTATGTGTGTTGGAGGAATGTTTTTCCATGACAGTTTAGAAGATTATTCTGGTCTGCATCCAACACCTTTCCAGAAAGCGCCAGAGAGAGCGCTAGGGTGGCCTTGGCAGAGCTTGGCACAACCTCATACATCGTACACAGGAGGGACCAGAAATGAGGTAGTTCTCCAGCACAGACCCTGAGCCAGCTCGAGTCAGGTAGATGCCCTCCTAGTCACCCCGGAGGGCTGCCTCAGCGCCAGGCTTCCTCCCGTGTTTGGGGTGTCCGGGTAGTTCCTACACACTAGCACCAGGTGCTAGAAACACATGCATCATTACTGAACTGAAGAACCTCAGCTGTGTTCAGCCTTGCTCCCTTCACCCTAACCTACCTAAATGCCTGATCCCACATTCCACTTTCTGTTCTGGCACACCAAAGGTCTGTCCACTGAAGACCAACATGCATCTTTCAGTCACCCTGGGAGGGCTGCAGGTGCCTGTGCTCGGATATCTGTAAGAAAGCTGCTTAAAATTAAGAGCATTTTCTTGGTAGGGTGTGGAGGGCATTTTAAATGTTGCTGAGCTTGGAGCCCAAACACACTGACAGGTGTAGCTGTAATGATGGAGATGAGGAAAGAATTTGATAATTCCCAATTGGATTACCCTGTGACTGCCCCTACCCCCGCTGTCAGGCAGGTGGTGGAGGGCTCTAGTTCTATCCACCAGCAAGGTTGGGCTGGGAGATAAGGAGGCACAGCAGTGGCCCCTGGACAGTAACAGAGCCGCTGGCATTCTTAAGGCTGAGCACTGGGAGGAACCTGCAAGCTGTGTCTATATTGGGGGACGGATGCCTGTATTTGAAAGCTGAAATACTGTTAGCATCCTGTTTTTAAAGTCTAAGCTGCGTTATGAAATTACTAGTCTGTTTATTAAGCCTTAAAACTTTATAAGTGCGTTCAGTGCCAATGCATTTCTAGAGCTATATCAAAACAAAAAGATACTTAACATCATAGTGTCATTTTGATAAGGATGTTTTGTTATTTTTACAATTCATAATTGGGTATAGTAATTGAATTAAACCTAGCGATCATGTAAAAAAAAAGATTATAACCCCGCCAAAAAAGATTATAATCCCAATACTTAAAAAAGAATCAATTCGTTGGGTATAATAGTGTGATAACTCAGTTAGCTAATCCTCCCCTTATATGTTCTGGGATCCCGTATGGTTGCTGGTTTGTGTCTTGGATGCTGTACTTTCCCATTCAGCTTTCTGCTTGTGGCCTCTGAAAGCAATGCAGGATGGCTCAAGTCCTTGGGATCCTGCACCCACATGGGAGATTCAGAAGCAGCTCCTGGCTTCTGGCTTTGGTGTTGCGGCCATTTGGAGCATAAACAATGGAAGGAAAACTTTTTCTCTCTTTTCTCTGTGCAAATCTGCTTTTCAAATTAAAAAAAAAATTGAAACATGAAGAAAAATCTGTTAGTTTTTTCTTAGTTGTAGTTTGTGACTTTTGTGTTAGGAAACTGTAAAACTTCATTCGATTTTGATGAGGTTAAATTTAGTGTTTCTTGAACTGGACTCCAGTCCTGGTCTTTGATCATTTGTGTAGATTGAAATGGTAAAATACCTCTTTTATCAGCCTTCACTAATTCTCTAGTTCAGTATTCCTTGTTTTCCTTTGGCCTAGTGACCAGTATGATCCTTTACAAAATTATTGAGGACCCCAAAGAGCTTTTGCTTATGTGGGTTATGTCTGTTGTTATGTAGTATGTTAGAAGTTAGAATTGACAAAGTTAAAAAATGTTTTATCCATTTGTTTAAAAAAGCTATTATGCATAAATACTTTGTAATTTTAAAATCAAGTGTATTCTGAAATAAAAATGTTTGATGAAAAGTGAGATACTGTTTTGCATTTTTTCAAGTCTCCTTTATGACTGGCCTAATAGGAGGCAGCTGGATTCTCATATCTGCTTCTACATGCAGTTAGTCATCTAGCCTCAGAAAAACTTCAGTGATAATGTGTGAGCAAATGAGAGTGAAAAAGTTAAATATTCCCCACTGGAAGATCTTCAAGATCTTAATTTTTGTTAGCCTTGCTGTTTTTTCACTTACTTATTAAGTAGGGTTAATATTTATCTCCTAGTATTATTGCAAGATCAGATATGGAAAACTGTTTCATTATGGTGTCTTGCATGTAACAGTCACTCAGCTGATGTTTATATTCACTTTCCCCTATTTTTTTTTAAATGTTTATTTATTTTTGCTAGGAAGGCAGATTTATAGAGAGCAGGAGAGACAAAGATCTTCCACCCACTGGTTCATTCCTCAAATGGCTACAGTGGCTGTAGCTGAGCCTATCCAAAGCCAGGAGCTAAGAGCTTCTTCCGGATGGGTGCAGGTCCCAAGGTTTTGGGCCATCCTCCTCCTCTGCTTTCCCAGGCAATAAGAAGGGAACTGGATGGGAAGTGGAGCAGCCAGGGCATGAACTGGCACTCAAATAGGATGCTGGCACTTGCAAGGGTGAGGATTAGCCAGTTGAGCCATCATGCTAGCCTGCTTTCTCCTAGTCTTAATCCATATGCAAAATTATTTCTTTTCCCCTTAGTAATTTTGTTATTTTGAATAGTATAGATAATTTGTTAAGAAAATGAGGCAGCTTCCTTCAATAGACTTCTAAATCAGCTAGGAATATGTAATGAAATCCCGTTTTATACTGCTTCTTTCAGGTATAGAGTAAAAGATAGAACTGAATGGGAAAACATTGTCTTGCTGCTGCCAAGTGTCATTATATGTAAACCAAGTCATTTGCTTTTTTTTTTCTTGGAAGAGTTTATTTTAACCTATTTTTTTCCAGTCAGAATGCCTTTACGGAAAGATTAAAAGCCGCGTTGTGAAATATTCTTATTTTGCTTTGAAACAGCAACATTTAAATAAATGTTAAGTTCAAGTCCCAAATGGTATTTTGAGAAGAGAAAAATTCCATTTTGCACTTTTTAGGACCAAAGAGTTAGAAAATGGCATTTTTAAAAAGTTTTCAGCAGAGTCTGCCCTCGATGTCCTCTCTTGTGGACACGATCAGTAGTGCCATGGAAGACTTGACCACTGCAGTGGGGGAGGTCAGCTATGCTTTGAGTGACTCCGTGACTGAGCAGGTAACAAGCATGCTAAATGGCTTTCGTCCAGAAGAGGAGAGTTCTGCACTAGTAGAAGCTGTAGAAACTTCCAGACCAAGCAATGCTGTGTTACCAGAAGTCCCCAAAGACACTCAGGGTCAGAAAACACAAGCTAATGTAGAGCACACAGCAAAGCAAATGAATTGTAATCCTTCGATTTCACAAAGGCTTGATCAAGGAATGCATGAAGAAGAGGTATTAAAATGTGTCAGTGACAGGCAGCAGATTCTGTCAGGCTATCAAGAAACTAGTAATGCTGGTAGTTCTTTGAAAGGATGCAAAAGTAATAGTGCGATATCTGTTATCAGACAGAATACAAAAGCTAGAACTGCTTGTCAAGAACAAGAAGGTACTAGTAAGTATAATAGTGTTGGATTAGTCATCTCTAGTAATGGCAAGAGTGATTTAAAAGAGATGAGATGTCAGGAAGTGAAAGGAAATCAGAATACCACAAATGGAAGAAACTCAGCGTTTGTGCAAAAGAAACACATTGCTGCACATGAAGTGGAAGAATATGCCGAATCTCAACATGTGTCTTTGGGAAAAGACCAAGTGAGAGTGGGACGTTTGAATAAAAATAAGCGTACTGTTGATACAGGGCATTCTGATCATTTGAAGAAAGCTGAAAAACATAGCAGGAATAAAGGATCCCGAGGGAATGAGCACTCTCCACAAGGTATTTTGACAAGCAGTAGGCTCATCATGCAGAAACCCATCATGGAGGAAACTGTGTATCCAGAGCCTGCAGTTTATTCTAAAGAGAAGTTACTGGGAAAAGGCAAAGAAAGGAGTGCAGCAAAATACTTCAGATTGAAAGGAGACCTAAAATCCAAGAAAAATGAAATGATTTCGGCCAAGAATGGAACAAAAAAGAGTAAAGAGGAAAAATATTTTAATGTAATACCAGAACGAGGTGAGGTCTCCTACTGTTGTTATGAGTAATTAATTTTTTTCTTGATTTTTAAAAAAATTTGGATGCTGTCATCCAAATTTTTAAGCTTTCTTATACATATCTGTGTACCTAAGAATTTCTAGAATCCTTTTATTGAGAGATTTTAAAAATTACTGTTTTTTCCCTCTCACAATCATTTCAAGAGTATGCATGTTATTTATAGGTTACTAAATATTGTCCCTGGTCCCTGAACTATTTTGTCAAATTCTTCTAATTTTCCTTAAGGTCCTTATGTTATGACTGGAAACTCCATGATTTTCTTAAATAGCATGCATACTTTAGTTGTAATTTATTCTTGTGCTATAGTTACATTAAAAATTTTTGTATCTTTGTAACTAACTGCTAAGTTATTTATATACTGTTGTTTTTCAAATCACACTCTCTATATATACATCACATTTTATATTTTCCCTTGAGAGCAATATTTGTTTTATTGGATAATGTGCTTCTGGGTAGATTTTTTATTCATTTAGCTTTACATTAAAGAATATGTATGGCTGCTCTAGTTTATAGTGAGCATATATGAGCAGTTCGTAATTACTCATAAGTTCTCTGTACAGAATTAAGATTCTAAGTATTTAGTTTTCAACCACAATATTTGTGATATTTTCAAAACATAACATGTTCATATTGCTAGCAATTACTTCTAAATCTGTTAGTCATTTCCATATATCTGATCTGATCATAAGGCCAAGAGTGCACTGGCTTTATTTTGATATATACACATGGAGCTATTCTGGAAATTCAAAATCCCATATAATACTGAGTAGCAGTAGAAATCAGAAAAACTTTTTTTTTTAGTTTCACTACATGACTGCATACATAATGGGAATCTGCTGCTTATTGATTGCAGGAATGGTTTTCAAATGATGTAGAAGAAGCTGATCCAAAATTGAAAACAAATGCCAGTTTTTGAAAATGTATCTGTTTTGGAGTCTATTCTGGTAGTTTTTTGCATGCCAGTTTCAGCAGCTTTTGGTACTTTTTATTTAGTTCTGGTAGCCTTATTTATTTTAACACTCAGTAGAATGGACACTAGTAATACATGTAGGTTAAGACAAATTTTTAAACTTTGATGTGTTTACATCAAGCAGCTTGTTGCTGTGGGTGGAGGTTGGCTGTAGGTGTGTGACACAGAGGTGAAGCCCTTGCTTGAGACAAAGACCACATCTGATAGTAGACTGCCTTTGTTTTGAGTCCTATTCTGTTCACCACTCCACTTCCTGTGAATGTGCACCCTGGGAAGCTGTAGGCGATGGCTTAAATAGTTGAGTCCTTATATTCACGTGGGAGACTTCGATTGGGTTCTAGGCTCCCTGCTTTAGTCAAACCAAACCAAAGCTTTTTTTTTTTCTTCTAAAGATTTATTTATTTTTATTGGAAAGTTAGATTTTACAGAGAAAGAGAGACAGAGAGAAAGATCCTCCGCCCGCTGGTTCATTCCCCAATTTCATTCCCTAAGCCTATCTGAAACTAGGAGCCAAGAGTTTCTTCTGTGTCAACCATGTGAATGCAGGGTCCAAAGGTTTTGGACCATCCTCTACTGCTTTCCCAGGCCGCAAGCAGGGAGCTGGATGGGAAACAGAGCACCTGGGAGAGAACTGGTGCCCACATAGGATCCTAGTGCATGCAAGGAAAGGACTTCAGCCATGAAACTACTGGGCTGGGGTTAGCTGAGCTTTTGTGAACATTTTGGGAATGAACGAGCAAGTGGAGAGAGAGCTGAAGACGGATAGTGCTCCCATCTGCTGGATCACTCTGTGCTTAGAGCTGGGCCGTGACTGGAGCCAGCGATCTCAGCAACTTCTCTCACATGGGGCAAGATCCCAGTTTCTTGAGCATCACCTGGAGCTGGGTTTAGCACTTGAACGTAGGCACTTCAGAGTGGGATCTGGACATCTTGACATTATTGAATTCCGGGCTAAATGCCTGCCCCTCTTCTTTCTTTCTGAATGTGGGGTCAAATTCAGGTAACACTTTTTAACAGATAAAATTTAAAAAGAAAATTGTTACCTTTTTCAAAGGGCTCAGAGCCCTCCTACTGCCTTAACACATTACTACCATGGTTTTGTACAAAGTGCTAACGGCTAGCTCTGAACTGGGAATTAGCAGGGATTGGTTCCATGCTGGCTCTCCTGCCTAGCCACATGTGGCTACTGAACATTTGGGAAGTGGTTAGCATCATGGGGGACTGATTTTAAAATTTTGTTTAATGTTAGAGTGATTTCAGATAACTGTATTTGATTATTGGCTACATGTAGGGAAGTATAGAAAATGATATTAGTCCTCTGTGCTCTCCATCTAAATCTCAACCTTGATTCCTTCACAACATACTACAGCCACTGAGCATAAAGGGGATGTTTCATGAGGTTGAGCTGATGGATTTTAACTACTGATATATCTGTTTTTCTAGAGCTGTTTTGTAATCCTAAAGATGTTGCATCTAAGTTTAAATAAATCTTTTAAAAACAGTGATAACTAATGCTTTTAAATATAATATAAAGTCCAGGATCCTATTGTCAGGGATGCTGGACTTTCAACCACTGTCTATACCTGTAATGCTATGATACACTTAAATAGCAGACTGTTGGGCTTGTGACTGTTGTTGAAGGATCATACTATTGTAATAATATGGGGAAAAACAGCAGGTTGGGGGTGGCGGAAAGGGAACTGTATCATGAAAAATGAAATTTAAAAAAAATAGAAAAGGTAATATGAAACTGGAACTTTGTGTAAGTTTAATTTGCAATTTCAGTAGCTTTTAGTGAGGGGTTCCCAACAATTCCATCTTTCACAGGTAATAAGCGTTAGCAGTTTGATACTTCTCTTTTTGGACACTTTTTATGTGCCTGCATATATACATACTGTGTATATATATTATATATGTGTGTGTGCATTTAAAGTAAGAATATAATTGTATTTTCTGTATTATATCCTTCTCTTATTTCTTAATTCAATGTTTTAATTATTCTTTCCTGTGAATACTTGTAGGTTACCTCCTCAATAACTCGGTGGCATTGATATATCATAATTTACTTAACCAAGGCCCAGTAATGGACATTTGGTTATATACTTTGGTTTTCTTTTGCATTTAATACAGAGCAATGGATTTCCCCAAACATATCTTTCCTGACCTATTTATTATTTTCTAAGGTTAAATTTTCTTTCTTTCCTTTTTTTTTAAGGATTTTTTGAAAAAGTTACAGAGATTTGAGAGAGAAACATACAGGGAGACTGAGAGATCCTCTACTCTGGTTCACTACCGAAATATCCACAACAAAAAAGACTGGGCCAAGAGCTTGGAATGCCATCTTGATCTCTCAAAGGGCTGGCAGGGACCCAAACAGTGAGCCATTACTGCTTCTTTCCCACATGCATTATCGGGGAGCTGGATTAAATGGAATAACTGAGACTCAGACTAGAGCTCATATGGTATGTCAGTATCCAGATGGCAACTTCCCTCACTGTGCCACAACACAAGTGCCCAATGTTGAATTCTTACAAATAGAGGTCAGTGTTGTGGTTCACCATTGCAGCCACTTGAGGCAGTGAATCAGAGGAAGATCTGTCTGTGCTTCGTTTCTCTCTGTAACTCTGCCTTTCAAGTAAATTTATAAATCTCAAAAAAATTAAAAAAAAGGAGAGAAATGTAATTGGTAAATTCTTAGGAAAGGATCAGAGACAAACAGATGTAAAAGCCTGATATGTTTTGCTAAAGTGCTCAGTAGAAAATTTGTACCAATTATAATTCTACCAATAATTATGTCTGCCCATTTCTCTGTTCCATTACTAGCACTGAGCATTGCCAGTTTTGAAAATTTTAACCAAAGTGAGAATCAAAAATGTGTCTTCTAATATGAATTACTTGAATTAGTTCCATATGTACTGGCAAAACTTACAGCTTAATGTGTGTGTTACTGGTACTTGGAAAAAAAATTGGGTAAAATGGCAAATACTCTTTTTTTTATGTAAAACTAGGCTGAAAAAACTCTGTGGCTAACATCTACATAATTATTCAAATCAGCCCTTATTCTATTAAAACATATAGAAAGCTTGGGCTTCATATGTGAAAAAATTTTTGTCTAGAGCTAAAAATGTTATTTGTTTATGTAGTTTACAAATTTGTGTGTGAATATGTACATAAATACATTTTATGTGGGCATATATTTGTTCTTTTTTGATATGTGTGTGTATATACATATATATGGGCTTTGTAGGTATATATATGTATATATAAGTGTATATTTGTGTGTACGCGTGTTAGACTTTATTGAATTACAGTTTAGCATGTGTGTTATGCTTTATTGCATTAAAATTATCATTTGCTCTCCCTATCATTCCAAATAGATCATTCTTACCTGGACAAAGATGAACATGGTTCATCCTCTGAAAGTGAAGATGAAGCACTGGGTAAATATCATGAGGCCTTATCCAGAACACATAATTCTCGATTGCCTCTGGCAGATTCTAGACAAAAGAACTACGCTTGGGAGACAAGACAGAAGTACAGTCCCCTGTCTGCAGAATATGATGGATATAGTAGTGAAGCATCAGTAGATGAAGGTAAGATAGACTATTTTATAGCATTTGTGTCAAATGTTAGGCGTCTTCAGTTACACAGTAAATGAGAACACATACAGAAGATTCACATTTCTGAGAATATATTTTATAGAAACCCAAGTCTTTGGGCTGAAGCCAAACATGAAAGCCAATACCAAAACACTGAAAAGCAAAGACACCAGATAATTTAAATAATGTGATAGTTGGAGCTCTTATTTCATAATGCGCACATACCTGGCAAGCATGAGTTGGAAGATGTGAATCTCCTGTTTTCTCACATGAAATCATTTCCTGTATACCTGTTATAAGATAAGAGCCTGAATATCTCACAGTGTTGAGTATGATCCATGTAAATGAATGCTTTCTCCTTCAATATGGTCTCCAAACATCAGCCAAATGCTTCACATGTCAAACAACAGAAAAAAATGTTATATTCCATGCATGAGGAAATAGTGAGACAGATTCATTCAGAGCTGGTACTGTATTATGCTAAAAAGCAGCAGCAGAGATTTCCAAAGTTGTTTTTTTTTTCTTTAGAATTATTTTCAGTGACTTCAAGGATTATTTTGTCTCTGATTTTACCTCCTGTACTGGTATTGACATTAAAACTCAACCTACTTGGAAGATTGAAGTCTAATCTCAGATGTTCTTATATTCTTCCTAATGAAATTAAGAGGTTTTACCCTTAATTATGTTTACTTTTACATTTAAGTACATTATTTATTTGTTCAACAGAATGTATCACTACTCAAAGTAATTATTTTTACTCAGATTTTGAAGAATAGTATATCGTTTTCGTTTTACTGACAGATTATTACCTTTGTTTTGTGTTTTAGAATCCATTAGTTCTGTTGACTTAAAACTTTGCCCCAGTACAGTTTTAAAGAAACCAAACCATCTTTTTTATTTAGCTTCAGATCAACTAAAGGTTGATTACGTCATTTTCATTTCTGTCCATATATATGATAATAATTCAACCAAATATTAATTACTTACTCTAGAAAAGGCTCATTATGAGATGCAAAGTAATAAGGATTAGCCAGTGACTTTACCCTCAAAAATACTTTATTTTTACTGGGTAAAATCAGACATGTGTTTCCAAAGAAAATCTTTGAACAAAACAGTAGTGACAGTCCCCAACTACTGTATACCTCTGACTGGCACATTAATTGTAGAAAAGAAAGAGTACATTTTGGAACCCAATATCCACTGATCCTCTGTCTCTGTCTCTTAATGTACTTACTATGAAGCCTTGGAAAGGATAGTTTATTGTTTTTAGGTTTCTTTCCTTGTTTCCAAAATATGGAAAATACCAATTTGGCAGAGTCATCATGATAACAAAATTGTATCTGTGGTACAGATTTGAGTGTATAATCTGGTGCCTCATATGTAAATGATCAGTTAGTACAGTTGAAGGTAGTGAAAGCAGTCATTGTGGTGGTTGTCCTGAGTTTGTAATCTGTAACCCTGGACAATCCCACTTCTGTAGGTGTAGTTGAGGATTTTTTTCTTTACATTTTCTTCCCAAGATCATGCATACCCCTCTGATCTCATGATTGCTTCAACCCTGAAGTCCACTGTTACTGGCACAGCTGTGTAGTCAAGAGAAAGAGCAGTGAGGAGAGAGATGAAACCATGCTTGCTCTTATCTTGTGCTTGTGTCCTGACTTAACCTCTGGAACTTGTACAGGTGTCCTGGAATCACCTTCTAATTTCATTTGACTATATATTTAGGACCCAGTCTTTACTTTTCTACATGTAAATACCTAAGGTAATTTGATGAAATCATAGGAGGCATTGATTTTATGTTTTCAAGTAAATGAAATATGTTCTTTTATTTCATAGACAAGCTTTTAATGGATTATATACTACACCAGATGTTGTGAGCATGAATATGAATACAAATAAGCTTATTAATAAGCCTTCCAGTTTGCAGGACAAAACCAGGGAAATCTAATTGAAGGTCTGTCAGGCAAATGGAGTTGTATGGGAGTGCAGAGAAATATGGAGCAGTCCAATGGAACCTTCACTGCAGTACTGGAGAATTGTGTCAGCAAGCAGTGAAACTGCTCTTGAGCTCATGGAGGCAAAGGAAAACTATATTTTGGCGCACTTATTATTTGTATTTAAAGAGGGGCGAGGTAACAAGATGAAATGCAGTGCTGAGGAGTTTCATATTGTTTTAATAAAAAAAAATAGAGTCCTAGGAGGTTTTTAAGCAGGAGCGTGTGACACTTTCAGATCAGTGCTTTTAAGAAACATCATTTAGTGTAGCAGAAGTGGAAGCTGGAGCTACCAGAAGAACCAGTTGGATCGTAATGAGATCCTCATTAGCTCTTTTTAAGATTTAAAATTGAAGAATATGTAGATTTAGGGATAGGTTCTTTGTTTCTTCCTGAATGATGAAAGTCTGTGGTGAAGAATGAATGAAGAATCAAGGCTGTTAATTAGCTGTGAGAGTATCCAAGGGGTAAGTTTATGGGGTAAGATAATTCTGTTTTATCATGTTGAGTTTGGTGTGTCTGTGGACTGTCTAGGTGAGCAGAACTGGATATTCATGTTAAAATGCTACCTGAGTAATTTAGGATAGGGAAAGAACCAAGGTATCATGGGAAATGACAGCAGATTGAGAAAATAACTTGTGTCATAGATCGTGAAAGATCGAAGCCTAATGTAGGTTAAGTGGAGTAAGGAAGAACAGAAGGAGAGTTGTATTCAAAGTCCCCTTCTGTTACTTAATGACCCTAAAGATATAGAGCAGCATGCTGGAAATTCAGAAATAGCAAAGAGGAGCCATCAAGAGCCTTCTTCAAGTTGGAAGGTGAAAATAGTGTAAAATATTTTGAGAGAGGAAAGAAGACCACAATCATAACTTTTATTAGAGTATATTGTCACAACTATTTTGTTCTATTTTTGGTTACTGCTGTTAGTCATAATTTTTAAGATTTGTTTATTTGAAAGGCAGAGAGAGAGAGAGATATTCCATCTACTTGTTCATTCCTTAAGTGGCAGTAGCGACTGAAACTAGGAATGGATAAAGCCAGGAACCTGTATTTCTGTCTCAGTCTCCCACATGGGTGGCACTGCATTTATCAGGTACATTGACTGGGCACTGGACCAAAAGTGGAGCATCCAGACTGTGTTCATTTGGAGTGTTTGTGTTGCAGGAGGCAGTTTCATGTGCTGTGCATTGTTAATACCACAATGAGTCTGATTTATGAATTAAAATGTTTCATATGTGTGTATGCATAAGGGAATATGGTAGATATCAGTGCTCTTTGTAGCTTGAAGCATCACTGGAGGTCCTGGGACATAACCTGCAGTTAAGGGAGGACTGTGGTCAATGATTTTATGTGTGAAATGCAGCAGGCTGTTTCAGTACTTGGCAATAGTTATTGAACTTGTTATCATGAATTAAGTTATAGGTTTTCCAATTATGTCTACTTAGAGAAGAGAAACTGTAGGAGTGGATTAAATTGGTGAAGGGTAATATATAAAGAGAAGGGAGCAGAGTGCCATTTCCTTTGACAGGAGAACCAGAGTGTCCTGTAAAGAAACAGAGAAGAGACAGTAAATAAATAAAGCAAGCAGTGAGGAGAATGTTGTATTTTTATCAACCATAGAAGGAGAGTGGAGATGTTGGGAAGATAGGAGTTCAAAACAAGCTCCATTGTCCAATTGAAGGTTATCCATGACTTTTGATTTTAGTTTTAATATAGTAGAATAATAAGGAAAGAAGTCAGATTGAATGTTGTTAAGGAAATAGTCAGAACAAAGTACTTGTCAATGGCACTTAACATCTGCTCACTTACTCTCTCCTTAACAACTTTCAGAGTCAAGAAAGAGGTGTAGCTGAAGTATTTTTAACCAAAGGTTCACCCCCTTCCTCTCAGCCACCAATAGTGGTCCTCCTCTGTTGTATATTTGGAAGGAGAGGGATTTGCTTGTAAGACAGCCTGCATCTACCCAAGTGGTTGCACCTCTGTGCAGCTGCCTCTGCACGCACTGCTCCCTGCCTGTCTGATCCCCAAAGCAGACACTGGTCATAGTACCTATAAAACTGTTTCACATAATACAATGTTACTAACAATAAAAAAGATGCAAAAAAAAAAAAAATAGTTGTTCACTTCCCTGAGTCCAAGTAAATGCCTGAACCCTGGGGGCTGCACTTCCCTCAATGCTCTGACCCTTGAGTCTCATCTTGCATCACACATGACTATAAAGGTTACCTAGACGTGAATCTTATGGATCAAAGTAACTAAAGAGGACTTTAAGATAGAAGGGAAAATATTTCAACATGTTCACTGTTTACATGGTGTGATATTGTCTCACTAGTTATATAAGTCCACATATTGAGACTTACTGAATTCCACCAAGGAATGTTAGAATAGCCAAATTAGAAGCCCATGTGCAAGAGCAGAAAGAGTTGGAGGAAACCTTATAGGGACCAGGGCACATTGGTGCAGGAGAATTTGACTAGGTAGTTAGAACCACCAAAACTGAACTCTGCTTGCTTTTTATTTAGTTTCTGTTCACATTGTCATGCGAGTTTTATTATTCATTACAGTTACTTGATAAGATTAATAGATAAGGTTAGTTCCACTTTACATAAATAAGGACAAATTGTAGATCAACTAAATAATTTTTAATCTGTCTTCACAAATCAAATTATAAAAACTATACTTGACAAGCACACTACAGGTTAAGTGTTTGGCTTCCATTATTAGGTGGTCACTGCTGCTCAGCCTTTCCAACACATGGTGGTCCTCTTTACTTTGGTCCCTTAAAGCTGTTTATGGTTTACAGATCTGAAATTCAGATATTCTAGAAATAAAAAATATGATAGCATATTTGTTGATCATATTTTCTCCTCTAGGTGGCCATATTAATCTTCTGTGAGTTCAGAACTACAAAAAAGAGATGGTATCGATAAGAAATTGTTCTAGGAAATATAAATAGTGAAATAACTTGCTAAACTCTTTTTATTCAAGAATGTTATTTTT